GGATCAAATTCACCGGACATGCGTGACAATAATAGAAAGGCCCACAGGAAAGCCCAATGAAGCCTAGCTCATCTCGCCTGAGTATTGCCTCTCTGAACAAATCTCTCTCTCTACAAAAAGCTTCTCTCTAATACTCAAACAAATCCCTCAAAAAACAATCTACCTTGTCTAAAAAAAGGAATAAAAAATTCCCATGATCAGCGCCGCCGTCCTGCCGCCTCTGTTTTTCTTGCGGTTACTCTTGACCAGATTCAGATTGGAAAAGCCTCCTCTTCTAAACGTTCCTACAATTTGGGTATTCATCATCCTCCGAAGGCTGCTGCTGATTCGCTGATGTCTTAATCAGGCATGTCCAGTGAAATTGTAGTTGGATCAAATTCTCGAAGTATATTCCCCGCAAAAAAACTTCTCAATGTAGATACACTTGGGTAATCTGCTCTGGCTGATGTGTTAGTTCCTTAAATTGTTACATGTGATCAGATGAGAAATATAGATCTAATTATCTTTTGTCTTCATATTAGCTAGAATTTCGTTTCAAAAAATGAAGTGAAAAAATAATTTGCTTTCTTTCTAACGACTTGCTTCAGTTCTTAACCCTTAGAAATCTTGTAGCTGTACTAGAACTAAATATAGATTGGTAATTGTTGAACATGCGTCTATCACTGTGTTTATATCTCTACACAAAATAGGAACATGTACCACAGTTGCGAGCGTTGTCTCTTTGGCCCCCCCTATGCTCAAATCCTGGCTCCGCCCCTGTCTGTGATGAACATAGTTTCCAGATGTATTTGTGCTTGGTAGCATTCTGAATATTTTGTATGCCGGTAGCTTCAGTTCTAACTATGTTTTTTTATTTATTCCAGGGAAATAGCTACAGTGTCTTTTTGGAGTGAAACTGCTGAAGCTTTTGATGCAGACAAACTCAATACAGATTAGTTGCAGGATCTTGTGGTTGCTCTGTTATAGGCTGCACATATAGAAACAAGATTGTAATGTTATCTCCCTTTCAATGTCTTTTTCTGGACAAGCTTTTCCGTCATGTTGATACATCTCTTATACTAACAGTTTGATTTTGTTTTCTTATTTTTTTATTGCAGCTGGTCTAAGGCCTTTCAGATGAGGTTTGTATTAACACAGACAATCCACAGATTGCCGCCCTGCGTCACGGTTGATTTCGCTTGGATTAGCATGTTTTGTTGCATGCTTATATGCTCTGCATGTTAATCAACTGTTGGCATGGCATATAGGCTGCAAGATTCAACACGACCTATTTAACTTAATAGAAAGAGAGGACGGTGATTTGAGCCCAGTGAAGTATAGATTGCTACTGTGCAAATCCGTCAGTAAGTTGACATGCGTCCATAATGGAGATGAACTTGGTCAAAATTAAGTAGGTTTGATTTAGGACAAATTTAGAACTTCAAATATTTTGAAATGAAGGAATTAATTGTTAACTATGTTATTTGCCAGTGTTCAGTGCGGATTCTAATGATGATTCTTGCAGGTCAAAAAGTTTGGATGCAAAACTATGATTGAGGATCTCCAACCAAGCCAAGCTGGTGGTTCCTGTGATGTGAGAAATGTATTTGGATAAGTGCAGTTCAGGAAGGAACCATGAAAAAGTGTACAAACCACAAATGAGGGTTGTTTCGGCAAAACTGAACTACCCAAGATATTTGTATCTCATATTTGAGTCCTAGAACCGGACAAGGACAAGTCAAGCTTTTTCACATGTTTTTTTAGCCGTACCTCACCTCTCCTGCTATTTTACATGTAAAATACATGCATGCATTATCAGCCCTTGATTTTGCACATGCAAAACTTACAATTGATAATGTCAGAATACACACCGATTAGACGTACCTATTCTCGGTGCGGCGCAAGCGCGCGTATACTCTAGTTATCTTTGCCTTCTATAAAAATATGACAACCGGTGTGCGTGCTCTCAAAAAAAAGGCAGCTCCAGATGATATAGGTGGAGGCGTCTGATGGGACAACCACGGCTGGACAATGGTATCAAGGTGCTCGCCCTCAATCGTGGCAAAGAACCACATGATATGGTGTTCTAGTCGTCTAGCCAGGTGGGGGTCAGGCATGTGATGCTCATGGCTGGGCTTGATGTGGTCGATGGAGTGGTACCGGTAGAAATTGGCGGCTACAAGATCAAGCTTGAGTTGATGAGGCCCGTGACGTTGGATGGCAAGGGCGAGGAAGCGTCGCAGACAGGCCACCGGCCAAAGAGATGGCCGGCGGTTTTGGCGGCAAGTGCCCCAAGGGAGGCTGCTTTAAGAGTCAATGGGGGGCTGATTTTTGTGTTTTGACTCTTTTGCTAAAGTTTAGCCAGACCTGATGGCGGTAGGGTGTAAACGCCTACCGCAAGGCTCTTGACGGTAGCAAAAGAATCAAATCCCAAAATAATTTTGGATGGAGGTCAGATCCAGCTCTAAACTTCCGTAAAAGGGTGAAAATACTGAAATCAGCCTCGATGGGGCGCAAGGACGAGACTTGACAGTGAGGCGGACAACACCACGTGGCAGGGAGGACACGTCATCGCCGTCAAAGGAGACATGGGAGGGAGGTGCGGAGAAAAAGAACCCTCTGAGGTTTTGCAGAATTTGCCACACTGTATTTGTTAGCCTTACATATATGTAAGGAGAGAGAGTCTCTGCTATAAAAAAATGTAAGAAGAGAAAGTCGGAGAATCGTTAGCCCACACAGAGGCGCATGCATGGCAAGAGAACCGGTCTATCCTCAAGACCAGGAGCTACCAGTACAACGTTTACATGAGAACGTGTCAAATACAAGTGTGCAACTCAACACCTGAGCGGGCAATAGTCTTCTCAAGTAGTACTTCTGTTCTACTCTACATCTGAAAGAGTAGCAGCAAGGGGCACTACGCATGGTATGACAAAGAACCAGCAATAAACTCAGGTCGTATACCTCAAGATTCCATACGAGATGCGCAGATACTCTTGTACATGGTAAAACTTGGTGATGAAACATCCTCATAGTCTGAACGAAATTTTCTGGGCTCGGCAGCGGTGCTGATCCCATTAACCAGCCAGCAAGGGTCTCATTAATATCTATGTCTACACCTGAGGTATTGAGACAGAGCACCTGATGACTGCCAAATTGTTGATGGCAGGTCATATAAACATTAATACATTGACAAGTAGCAATCGGAAAGGTGATATGAAAAAAAACACTGGTGGCAATGATTTCAAAAATAAGGTAGAAACGTGTAAGATTAAACATTGAGGTTAAAGTTACCTATTTCTGAAGTACATGATGATGCAAGACATAAATCAATGCAAGTTGTGAACAGTTCCAAGTAGAAGAACCTATCATGGCCAACCTTCAAATCAAGAATACACTGTCAAACAAGTACTTAATACAGTTAAAAATTAAGCAGGATAGATGTAAATTTTACCAATTGCATCATACAAGTCTTGCCAGATATTCGGTGACCATTGTTCTAACATCTTTATAAAACCTTCTCTTGTACCATTAAACCTTTGCTGTAAATAGGAACAAAACATTGTAAGTGCTGAATCACTGTGCACTAGTACTGTAATAGACAAGGTGTTAAGGTCACAGATCCAAAATTTTCACTGTCTATCCAAGTTAACAAACAGCTCAGACTAAAAATATTATACTCTGTATTTTACATTTATTTCATATTTCAAGCTGTCCTAGGAATAAACAATCAGAGCATTTTCATGGCCTTGGTAGTTCTTTGTTTATCTTTTTGCACTCACAACATGCTTGAACTCTATGCATATTAGTAAGTTACAGAATGTTTTAAAAGTGAATTATCTTGATCTGATAAGGAAACTTGTAGAAATGTTTATACACATTCCTTATAAGAAGCATATAATCAAATGGATTGCTTGGATTGTAATGGCGATTGCTCTTGCTTTCATGCTCCATAATTTTGTCCAGCACATCTGGTAGCTTTCCATCTTCCTTAGGCCATGAAATGTCTATTATCCGACACGCAGATCTCATTTTCCCTTGATCAGCTGCTATAAGACAGAGCAGATACTCCCCCTTTGTGTAATTATCCCAATTATCTGGATATCTTCTCAAGGCCCTCACAGAAAAATTCACTTGACCAATAAAAGAAATAAACCTTTGGGCTTCAGAATTGGGCTTAGTTTTCCATTGGTCGTAACAGCATGCTATAATATCCCAAACTGGTTTCCAGAACACACTTATGGAAATCCCACCTGGTAAGGTTTCCGCTGCAGTAAAAAGTGCTTACTAAGTCAGAACAGAGATCGCTTATGCTGTTTAGGGAACTTGGAGCTACGGAGAAAAACTTTACATGGATTTCTTTTACAACTATGGTAACAAAAAAATATTAACAGAAAGTCTAGTCTATTAACTACGCAACAGAGCTACGCACCACTGCGTTCGGGTGTAATACCGAAACAGAATTTGACAAGTGGGATTAGAGGATCAGTACCTTCTGTTACTAGGAGAAGAATCCTCTGAGTTGTTTCCTTTGCAATGTAAAGATTATTCCAATCAAGGTTTTTTTTATCAGAATCCCCTTTGCAGATGATTTCTCCACAGCATCACAAATATCACTGCATAGAGAGAAAAGTAAGCTTCCAAACAAAAAATGAAATGAACTTCCAAGTGATAATCTAATTAAATTACAACTTACATTATCATACTTTTGAACAATGATGACATGTTTCCATTTCCATCAATCAGAAGATCTTTCCCTTCACTGCTTCCTACCCAGGACTTGAATGATGTTCCTGCATCAGGTATAGCTAACCTTCCTTGATTGCTGTCGCGGTCGCGGTAGAAGTTGCGATGTGGTATGATTGTGTTATGTTGGAAGTCCTTCATGAGATTGTATGTATCTTCCGTTATTCCAGGACCCTTTTTAATCATGATACTGACATCGTAACGATCCATGCTGCATGTCGCCGTGAAAAGTTTCAGCTCTTTCACCCTATTGTTAGAATCTACGATTTTATCCTTCCCCTCCAAAGGAAATTCGTCGTCTTCTTTTTCCATCTGACAGTTCTGTAGCTAGCTACCACTCAGACCCTACAAAACGAAAGAGACAAACAAAAATATATACTCGTAAGGGATCAAGATGCCTGACAAAATAAACTAATTTAACAGCAGCTACAGAAATTGAACAAGTAATTATCACATGGAAGGCCCCAGCCCAAAACAGGTCAACCAGGACACTTCCCCTCACCAAACACACAACTTGATCTGCGAAACTGCTTAGAGGTTTAACCCCCTAGCTGATGCAGGGAATTACTATAACAGCTTATTATTTTCCTTAGCTACCAGCTAAAATCATGCTGGCACTAAAGGGTTATGAATCTGGACGCTAGACCAAACCTGTACATCTAAAGGCACAAGGTTTTTGCAAACATCATGCACTCCACATAGCACGCGACATACGTACTACAAAAGCTAAGGGGGGCTTGAAGCGCGTTTACACCAGAGGCAAGTATACTCGGTGAATTTTTGCGTGGAAAGCTAAATATGAACGAAATCTAGGCCCAATGGAACAGCAGGTAGCTTGCCTTTTATCACAATTTTAATCATTGTTACTTCATCTCTTTTCTTTTAGTTCCGCTCTTTCCCTCAACAATCTTATCATCTGTGGCCATTTTTTCCTAATATTTTCTGTACAGTGTAAACCCCACGCTTGGAGCACACTGTTGAAATAATAACCTTCATTTGTACAAGATCAGAATCAAATTGGAGTGTTTCTCGATACTAATTACTAATGTAACTAATGTTCGTTTGTACGCTCAATAAAGTGATGCTTTTGAATGGACACCTCCTTTTCCTTTCTGAGAAGCGATGTAACTTCAATGCATGTCCAAACTCGCTTTATTTTGTTAATAATGTGGAAGCTAAAATTACTTTCAGGTTTTGAAACCCAAGACGTGTTATGAACTTATGATCATGCAAACAATAAGTTGGGTATTGCTAAAGAAATCAGTGTTATCCACCTCAACCCCCACAAAAAGCATGTATAGAATTGTCAAATTACACACTTTATATGAGACATAAAATAATTATACGCAGACTACGTCAATGTATGCATGAGTCTTATACTTATATACATATATAATTAGGCATGAATATTCATCAAATCCCTACACATGAGCCTTAATTAACCCACAATTACATCGAAAATGTTGAACGGTACCATGGTTTACTCGAACCTACGCTCAACACCATTACCATTGATCTCTGCACATCACTCATGGGGATCTGTGCATGGCGTATTAAACATTGCATGTACGGACTGTTTGCGGGTTAAACAATGCTTGGCACGAACTGTTTGAGGAATATGGAGGGAGCAGTCATCCATGGCACAAGTAGTTTAGCGATGGTTATGAGCCCTACATTGCTAAATAATCCTACTTGGTGCTCACACCATAGTCAATAAGATAGTCATGTTGCATTGGACATCTCAAATGCTGTCCCATGCACAAAACACTGTTCACTTTTATAGCTTGAGGTTGACAATGGCTTTATATAAATTATATAAAGATAGGTCTGAAAATCGCCTCTCACAATTGCATACATCACAATTACACACATAATAATGACGTCTGGTCCTTAAACGTATATTATCCATATAATTAGAAAGTCTGATCCTAAGCATGTTCAAACAAGTTATTCTTCCATATTTTCCTGTTTAGATACTCAAGTCCAATCCAATCCCTTCCATCCATTGGAATTGGACCATAGCTAATTCTCTATGTTCCTTCTCTTTTTCAGGAAAAATTAACCATAGCCATCACTGAAGCAACATATATGCTGCAGCCACATAAATTAAAAGATAGGTCATCTGATCCTATCAAAATTACAAAACAAAAAATGCTGAAGTTTTTCTGATCCTATCTTCTGTACCTTCAAATTTTTTTAGAAAGCAGCACAGTAACATAACAATATACTCCCTCCGTTTCTAAATATTTGTCTTTCTAGACATTTCAAATGACTATTACATACGAAATGTATGTAGACATATTTTAGAGTGTAGATTCATTCATTTTGCTCCGTATGTAGTCACTTGTTGAAATGCCTAGAAAGACAAGTATTTAGGAACGGAGGGAGTAGACAGCAATAGAGACCCAATATCTTCACCAATACGATCTACCCTAATCTTAGATGCATACATATGGATAACCCTAATCTTAGAGGAATGGAGGGAGGAAGAGCGGTCGCTTGTCCTCGGCAGAGGGATGGAGCGGCTGATCTTTTACTTCTTGCTCGTGAAGGAGTTACAGAGCGCCGATAACGAACTACTCGCACCAAAGGAAGAAGGAGGAGTGCGGGAGGGCACAATCTGGTGGAGAAGGCGCGAGTGGGGAAAGGGCTCGACCAGCTTACCGAAAAAAGGAGGGAGGAGGAGCTGTGGCCTGCTCCCAGGCCGGCGGGCGAGCAGCGCCGCTCCTACGTCCTTTTTCCGTGAGGAGATGCCCGCGGCGGCGGCGGCGGCGGCGGCGGTCTGCTGCAACGGCTTGAGGGGGAGGGAGGGGAAGGAGGGCCGGCTCGGGATCGGGGCTACGTTCTGTGGGCTGCAGGCTGCTGCGCCTCTCTTGCGCTGCACGAAAAGAGGAGGGAGGGAAGGAGGGGCGGCGCGAGACGAGACAGACGAGAATTGGGCAGGGACGAGATTGAGGCCGCGGTGTTGCTGGGCTAGACCGGGGAATTGGGCAGCTGGGGCCTTAGGGTTTCCGCGCTGGTGGGCTTTTTGTTGGGCGGTTAAACCGGCACTGTCGCCGGCTCCGGCCGTAAAAACACATCTAACCTAATCTGACAGGCGTTCTACTGGTGGCAAGATCCTTTGAATTAGATGGCTACCTTTGAATTAGATGGCCTGTCCTACAGTTTTCCCTCTAGTTAGGGTTTCGCCGAGTTCTCCAGGGGCGATCTTCGCCGCCGTCGAGTTTTGTTCCCTACCACCGATCAAACCCCGTTCTTGACGCGGCAAGGAGGGGACGACCTCCCAGGGCTGTCGTCTCGCTCGTGGCAAGGAAGGGGTCAGCGAAAACTAGGGTTCCCCATCAAGCTACCCGATCTGTTCTTCGGGTGAGAGTATTCATGGAGAATTCCGGAGCTAGTTCCTCCGGGATCAGTGATGTCGAGCAGATGATGAAGGAGTTGGGATTGAAGGAGGAGGACTTGGACGACGTGGTCTTCGATGAGCAACCTGCGCCGCCGGAGGGGCCGAGATGGGTAGCCCTAGCTAGGGTTAACACCTCCAAAACCTACAGTCATACTTGGTTTTTCAGAAACATGAGATCGGCATGGGATATTGCGCAGGAGGCCAGGTTCAAGCCTCTGGAGGAAAACTTGTATACGGTCACATTCACTTGCTTGGGTGATTGGGAGAGAGTTATGAACGACGGCCCATGGAATTTCAGGGGAGATGCGGTGATTCTGCTGCCATATGACAGGATAACGAAGCCGTCCATTGTGAAACTTGAGACAATCAACATATGGATCCAAATCCATGACGTACCAGACTTGTATGGCCATCTGGTGGCTCCTTTGGCAGCAAAAGTGGGAGAGGTTCTTTTCTCTGAACCTAACTCACATGACTTTGTCGGCAACTTCCACCGAGTGTGGGTTAGAATCAACGTCAACAACCCTCTAAAGAATGCGGTCTCTATGATTAGGGAGGGGAAGAGACAGATATACAGAGTCAAGTACGAGAGGCTTCCCGACTGGTGTGCTGTATGTGGCATGCTTGGTCACCAGTTTAAGGAACACGGCAATGGCATTCACCCTCCGTCAGCCCTTGTGTTCAAGGATCTCTATTCTAACTGGGTCATGCGCAATGGAAGGGGGACGGGAGAAGGCCGTAGCCAGCGAGGTGGCCGCAGAGGTGGGCGTGCCGGAGGCGCTCAAGTGGCCGTTTTGAGGAGGGCAGAGATGTCATGACAGAGAGACAGGTGCACGGCACATCCCAGGATTATGACCCAAGCAAGGCTGCTAGCGACGCAAAGATGGAGGACTAGAGCAGGAAGAGGAACGCGGGAGCTGAGCTGGGAGCCAAACACCCCATGCCTCGCCAAAATTCAGAAACGGCACCTGCAGTTGGTAACTCACTTGCGATTGTGCATGCGGGTATAATAGGAGCCAGCCCTCCACCGCATAGGGACCTGAAGAGAACAAAGAAGGCGGGAGAAGACTCAGACGTGTCAGCATTAACTGTGAAGAATTTGGCGGGCTCCTTCGAGGAGCACCGCCGGGTCCAATGAGTGTGCTATGCTGGAACTGTCGGGGCGTGGGTAAAGCCGCGATAGTTCGAGAGGTTCGCGAGTTTGCGAAAAAATTTACCCCTACCCTCTTATGTATCATCGAAACTCAGATAGAAGGCTCGAGGGTAGGATCATTAGCTGGCACCTTTGGTTATGACAATAGTTTTGCAATTGACAGTCGAGGTAGAAGTGGAGGTGTTGGTATTTTTCTGGAACAATGAAATAAAAGTTGAAATTCTTGGTTATTCGGATTACCATATAGATTGCTCTATTGTGGAGGAAGGGCTTGATCCTTGGAGAGCCACGGTAGTGTATGGCGAAGCACAGACCCACTTACGTTACAAAACGTGGGACACCCTGAAAAACATTAGCTCTTCATTCAACCTCCCCTAGCTTTGCCTTGGTGATTTCAACGAAGTTTTGCGTCCCGAGGAGCATGAGGGAGTGGGACAACGGAGCATCGCACAGATACAGAGTTTTCGGGAGGCAGTGGACGTGTGCATGTTGCTGGCCGTTTTTGGACTTTTGAATAGAAGGTAAGGGGAGGATCCTACACTCGGGTCCGACTGGATCGTGCGCTGGTCAGTGGTGATTGGCAAGCAAGATTTCCATTAGCAGATTTGACACACTTGACGGCGGCGACTTCTGATCATTGTCCAATTTTAATGCGCCTGAATAGAGATCAGCAAAGCAGTCAGCAGCAGAAACCCTTCAGGTATGAAGTCATGTGGGAAGGGCATGCAACCTGGAGCGATACTATTACGTCAGCAT